GTGTTACGGGCTAAGCACTCACCTAACAGGGGAGCTGTGTGAGCTGTGTGTGGAAAACACATGGCTGAAAAACAGTGTCTGCTCCTAAACTGCTGAGCCATTTTTGCTGTAGTTTCTATGCACTGTGTTTGACCCTTGGAGAAAGGCGAGGACACAGTCCTGAAGGGACCTGGAGTTCCGTGGAGGGACCTATTCTGTGGACGGCGGTAAACCCCAAAGATTATTTTGGTTTAAGGACTGTTTCTTTTGTCTGCTCCAGACTTGTGGTTGAGCCCATGCAGAGGCTGAAGGACTATTACCCCACTGTTGGGACAGTTTTATTTCTGTTTGCTGCTAGAAAGCAGTTTTTTTGTTATCGTTATATGGAAAAATAAAGACAGACCTTGATTTTACATGGCACCAGTGTAAGCGTAATCCCCCAGAATGTCATAAAAAAAAAATATATATATATCCCTTATAACTAAAACATTTTAATAAATGGTACCCCAGACTATGATTCCAAGAGGAAACAACCAAATTAAACACAGAGATACTTTCATTTAGTCATTTTTTCAGAGTCTGGTGTGGATCCAGGTGACTTTTTCTTCAAGTTTTGTAAATTGTACATGAAATAGAAGCTGTATTGTGTCTCCAAACATTTCCTATCAATACAGTATAAATGTCTCTTAATCCACAAGTCTCCTGGCTTTAGTTTACGAGATCCTTCCAAACTGTTAGGATCTGGAATTCTAGGAGAAAACACATAAATGAATTTGTCAAAAACCTTAAGAGATCAGCAACATTCTCTGTATGAGCAACACATTTCCAAACTAAATCTCATAGGGAGAGAGTTTATATATCCCCTTAGGGGCTTAAATATATGAAGACATTCAGGCCATAGCTTTATGGTTTCTGACCAGGGGCGGACTGACCATTCAAGCACGCGGGCACTGCCCGAGGGCCCGTGGTCAGTAGGGGGCCCCTTGAAATGCCCCTGGTACCTTTTTTATAGGCTTTTTTGAGTGTGGGCAAGGACACAGGGGCCTCATGATCCCCTATTGCCCGGGGGCCCCATGAGTTGCCAGTCTGCCCCTGTTTCTGACATCCCCTTAGTTACTCTATTTTTTCCACTACATTGTAGACAGTAGGGGTTTTACAATAAAACCCTCAAAACTTCTTGTAAGTGCTCTCCTATAAAATTAGTTCCTTTGTTATTCTCTCTAGCTTCTGAGACTCTGTACTTACAAATTACTTCTGATACCACTCCTTACTGTGGCCTTTGCAGTAGCATTTGCCACTGGTCAGACTTCTGGCCATTCAGAAAACATGTCCATACAGACAAATGCACACTCCTGACTTGGACATCTGGATATATACTTTTGAAATCTCTGGAAAAGATGTTAATTTTTTGGTAACACCTTTGGTAACAGGTAAATGAAGAAGTGATATATTTAAAAACAACTGTGATGAATCCTGGTGCTATTCCAGGATCATTTACTAAGTCTGCCATAACTGCTTTTGACTGATAACACGGTCCATGTGTCAAGCTGGAGGGAAAAGAGTGGCTGTTAGACATGAAAGATCACCTTTTTCCAAAGTCCTGTTTCATAAGAAGGTCTCCCCTATGTGGGCCACTTGTTCTTCTTGTTTTGCGGTCCTCAAAGTTTAATTATTAATCCCAGCTTTACTGGGCCAGAACTAGGGTGGAATCTGTGAGTTGCACAGACCCAGCAACTGTCCAGGGCTGTAGTGCAGCATCCTTAGTCGCCTGATCTGCTTCCAATATGTGAGTTTTAATTTTAGTATGACTACCTCAGCAAGAAGCTGGAAGGCTGAAAACAGTCAATCAATTAACTTAGCATGCTTGGTTGGTTTACCTGCCAAAGTGAAAAAAACGTCTAGCCCTTCAAATGGAACCAAAATCTTGCACTGCCCCAAAAGCTCTCTAATGCTCTAATATCTATATAAATGTATACTCTTTTGATAGCTCACCGGCTTTGCTAAAGAATGGAGCATTGCTTCTTGAATGGAGCACAGCTCTTATGATCAGATGGGCAGCCATAGTGCTCATCCCATCTTCCTCCCCTGACTACATATAAATTATGTTTGGGCCAGGGCCAAAAATTATATTATTTTTATACCATTTGACCCTCATTTCTCTGGTTTGGCCTTTTCTCATGTTTTAGAATGTACTAGTTGTGGTGCCTAATGCAGGCCATAGACGGGGAGAAAACCGGACTTTTTTTTAGAAAAACGAAAAATCGGTCGTTCAGTCAGCCGATGTTACCACCATTGGTAAAAAAAAGTCGGCTGATTTTCGTCCCGTCTACAGCCGGCAAATATAATAGTGGTGTCCCTGCAGAGAGCTCCGCTAATATATTTGACAGAAGAAATAGAATATGAATAAGAAAAGAAGAAAAGAAGAAATAGAATAAGAATAATAATAAGAAAAAGTTGCAACATTGTATCTATTTGTATCCATTTCTGATACAGATGTTTCTATTTGGATACAAATAGATACAATGTTGCTATACTTTTAAATGTCAAATATAATATCGGACTGAAATTCTTTTTTTTTATTCTTCTTATTTATATTCTATTTCTTCTTCTTATTCATATTCTATTTCTTCTTCTTATTCATATTCTATTTCTTCTTTTTCTTATTCATATTCATATTCTATTTCTTCTTTTTCTTATTCATATTCTATTTCTTCTTTTTCCTCTTCTTATTCATATTCTATTTCTTCTTTTTTCTTATTCATATTCATATTCTATTTCTTCTTTTTTCTCTTCATATTCATATTCTATTTCTTCTTTTTCTTATTCATATTCTATTTCTTCTTTTTCCTCTTCTTATTCATATTCTATTTCTTCTTTTTCTTCTTACTCATATTCTATTTCTGCTTTTTCTTTTCTTCTTCTTATTCATATTCTATTTCTTCTTTTTCCTCTTTTCCTTCTTTTAGCTGGTCACTGCTCATGCGCATTTTTTAAAATTGGTAAAAAGATCGGCCGATTTGTCCATCATTGCGGCGAAAATTGGCCGAACGACAAAATCACAAAAAAGGGCCGACCGATTACCCCACTAACGATCCGAGAATCGACCGATTTGTTTTCGGATGAAAAATTGGCCGGTTTTCTCCCTGTCTATAGCCTGCATTACTCTAAATTCATTCTACAACTTAACATCAACATTTTCCCTTATGTCTAATGTTACATTGTCTGTCACCCTTCATCCATCCTGCTCAAATAGATTGTTTCTCTAGCTGTTTAAACTGCATGATCCTTAGTTCCTGTTTACTGAGTAACCCTGTTACCCATCGTGGATCGCTGTCTACTTTAACCATGTATCTAGGGGCTCAGTATAGGGGAACCGCACCTCCAGTTCATATATTCTCTAGCACTCCACTTGCGCTGAGCATTTTCTGAGAGTATCCTCTTTCCTTTCATTCTCTTACTTAATTTAATGCCCATAATGACTGGCCAGTCTTCTCTTCTTGTGCGTATACCTTCTTGTCTCTAGATCTACTATTACAGCAGATGTGTGCTTCAATTAACCTGTTAACAGTACTATTCTTCATTTTCTTATCTATAACACTCCAATGGACAGTAGACAGGGACAACATAACATATAACCACCAATCAATAATATTTCCTTTACAGTATTCAAACGTAACTACAGGTTGACATTATTTATCAATATTCACTTTGTTAAGTAGACAGCCTCAAGCCTTTAGTAAATTAACTCCAATGCATGCTTTTAAGCCCCTGCTTCATTCTTTTCCACATCCTGAGGATAAAACCTAAGGATGTGGACAAGGATGGAGAATATGTTTTAATAGGTATATTTAAACCTACCACTTATTGCTACTCCCCACCCCAATTTAAAAAAAACACTTCTCTTTAATTTCATAGTACTAACAATGTACAATTTACCCTCTGCAAAATGTTTATTTCCACTCAAACCTTACATTGAATTCTGTGATATTTTTAGTATGTCAAACAAAAAAAAAATTATATTAATTGTATGACCATGTAACTAGAATATATATTATTGAACATTTTCATTTTTTGTTCCATTTGTAATAATGGAGTTCCAACACACATGGTTAGTAGACTGCGAGGGAGACCACACAGGAAATGGTGAAAAGTATAGCTTGTTCATGTTTTTCATGTTCTTTTTCTCTATTATGGGCTTTTTGCCGGAAGCATGGGACTCATCTTTTTACAAAGACAGAAAATATAGTCTCTATCCTTTTTACCCAATATAAAAGAAAGAATACAGGGGCAAGCACCGTCTGCAAAATCCTCTACTTGGTTCCCATGTCCATGTCCTATTTATATATTATAGTATCAAATTGTTTTCAATCATTTTGTTGCAGATTGTATCATATATCCATGCTTCATTTTCAGCCAAAACATTGTGAATATATTTAGTTTTAAAATGATCAATTTACGAGTAAAGTAATTTATGCATTGCTTTTCTTCAACCATTACTTTTTGGTACATATAATTGGTAAAGCCTGGGCTGGGTGTACTGAAAAGGTATTTTAGCAATAATAGACATACCCCATCAAGACTACAGTTATGTTTCCAAATGTACATTAAATTATTTACACCTTGAAGGCAGTTGATTGAACTGCTGCATTACTCAATTAGTAGATCAAAAAATTGTATGATTCCAATTTAGAAGCAAGCTCTGCATTCCCTCTTCTATTTTTTCCTATTCTTCTACATTTTTACCCTGACAGTGACAAATTACATGACTGCTGGCTGAGATTGGAAATTAAAAGCATTTAGAGTTTCTCATGCATTTATGCTAATGAGAACCTCTGATATGATTTGCATGCAAAAGAGGACTATCTGAAAGCTCATCAGTTTCTTTTTTTGTTTTCATGTGTTAGGTCGTTGTTTTTAATAGGGAAAAGGGTTTTTTTTCTTTATCTTTTCAGTAGCAGTCTTATGCCAGATCACACTTGCAAATTTAGATGTATTTAATTGGTGTGTTATAAATTGACAAACTGTTATCCTGCTTAAAGGGAACCTGTCAAATTTGGTTTTGGTGAGATTTTAAAATAGAAACATACAAGAGTGAAGGCAGAACAAGGCCAAGTGGTCCTTTAAGTCTTCCCCTCGCTTTTTTTTCTCTGAGCTTAGACCCATGTTTATCCCAAGAATGTTTAAATTCTCTTACTGTTGCCTGATTCGCTACCTCTGCTGGAGTCTGTTCCAAGCGTTCAGTATCCTTTCTAAAAAATGGATACTTTTTAAGGTTATTTCTAATGTTTCCTAGCTGGATGTCATGCTGTTTTTTTCTTAACTTCATATTTACAATACTGCCCTCCTGAACTTTATCTACACCCCTAATATATTTAAAGGTTCAATTATGTTCCTACTTTCCCTTCTTTCTGCAAAGCTGTACCTTTAAAGTTCCTTTAGTCTTTCAGATTTTTCACCATTTTGTTTCCAATCTCTGGTTTTTAAATGGGGTCTAATTAAAACAGTATATATTAGGACAAGGAATTCCTTCCCCCCACTGGTTGTCCCTCTAGTTATGTCGCTGAGATTTTTATTTTCTTCCCTTACTGCTTGGTCATACTGTTTGCTCATTTTGTCATCATCTCAAATAAACATCCCCATGTCTTCTTTTTCTGTCTTTCTGACCACCACTGCATCCTCAATCAAAGTAGTGTTCCCCCTGTGCTTAATATGTACCTAACCGATACTAAGCAGCTAGCACCTCAATCCTTTACCTATAGGTGAAAATAACAAATGAACAATAATATGGTGCAGTGCAACATATACACATAAATAAACTCTAAATAAATAATAATAAATAAATAAACCAGTGATATGATCCTCACAGGATAGACGTGAAAACAGTGAACAGATGTGAATCCACACACAAGGTCCTATGCTTGGACCCAATAAGTGAACTGAAATATAAGTGATGAATAAACACATATAATCAACCCAATCTCTAACAGGGGATAAATCAGATGTGCACACAGTGAATCCCAAATGCAGGATATAGATTATTATTATACAGGATTTATATAGCGCCACAGTTTACTCAGCGCTTTACAATATAACAGGAGACAATAAAGCAACAATACAGATCAATACAAGAGGGATAGGAGGGCCCTGCTCCTTGGAGCTTACAATCTAGGAGGGAGGGGCTAGTGGTACAAAAGGTAGTAACTGTGGGGGATGGACTGGTTGGAAGAGTAGAAGATTCCATTATTAGCTGAGGGCAGGATAGGTTTCCCTGAAGAGATAGGTTTTCAGAGATCGCCTAAAAGTGAGCAGAGTAGGCGATAGTCTGAAATATTGGAGTAGAGAGTTCCAGAGGATGGGGGAAGCTCTGGAGAAGTCCTGGAGACAAGCATGGGGGGAGGAGACAAGGGAGCTAGAGAGTAGGAGGTCTTTCGAGGAGCGGAGAGTATGGTTTGGGTGGTATTGTGAGACAAGATTGGTGATGTAATTTGGGGCAGAGTTATAAATGGCTTTATATGTTATTGTTAATGTTTTAAATTTTATCCGTTGGGCAATGGGAAGTCAGTGGAGGGATTGGCAGAGAGGGGTGGCAGATACAGAACGGTTAGTAAGGTGGATGAGTCTGGCAGCAGCATTCATGATAGACTGAAGAGGGGATAGCCTGCAATTAGGTAGGCCAATGAGGAGGGAGTTACAATAGTCAAGGCGAGAGATAACCAGGGAGTGAATAAGTTGCTTAGTGGTTTCCGAGGTTAGGAACGGCCGTATCTTGGAGATGTTGCGGAGGTGAAGTCTACAAGATTTGGACAGTGATTGGATTTGGGACTGAAAGGACAGATGGGAGTCTAGGATTACACCTAGTACCCTGGCATGAGGGGAGGGACTGATGATTGTGTTATTGATCTTGATGGAGAAGTCAGGGGAGGGGACACGGGGCTGGGGGGAATATTAAGAGCTCAGTTTTGGAAAGATTGAGTTTGAGGAAGTGGAGTGACATCCATGCCGATATGTCATTTAGTAGGTTAGTATTGCGAGAGGAGACTGAAGGCGTGAGGTGAGGGGTAGAAAAATAGATTTGTATGTCATCAGCATAGAGATGGTACATAAGGCCATGGGAGTTTATCAATTGACCAAGGTGTAGATAGAGAAGAGAAGGGGTTCAAGGACAGAACCTTGAGGGACCCCTACAGAAAGAGGGAGTGAAGAGGAGGAGGTAGCGTTATAGGTAATGCTGAAGGAACGCTGTGGTAGGTAGGTGGAGAACCAGGAGAGAGCAGAGTCTCTGAGGTCAAGAGAGTGGAGTTTTTTGAGGAGGAAGGGATGGTCAACCGTATCAAAAGCCGCAGAGAGGTCAAGTAGTAAGAGTACGGAGTAGTGGCCATTGGTTTTAGCAGTTAGTAGATCATTAGTGAGTTTTAGTAGGGCAGATTCAGTGGAGTGTAGTGAGCGAAAGCCAGACTGTAAAGGGTCAAGAAGGTTGTTGTCGGTGAGGTGGGAGCTCAGGCAATTGTAGACTAAGTGTTCTAGGAGTTTAGAGGTAAATGGGAGCAGGGAGATGGGTCTTAAGTTGTTCAGTTTGGTGGGGTCCAGGGAGGGCTTTTTAAGTATGGGAGTGATGTGTGCATGCTTTAGAGGGGAGGGGAAGGCACCAGAAGAGAGGGAACGATTGAAGATGTGAGTGAGGGAGCATAGGATGGAAGAAGAGGATGACCTTAGTAGTTGTGAGGGGACAGATCCAGGGGGCAGGTAGTGAGACGGGCTTCTGAGAAAACCTTAGTGACCTCTTCAGTAGTAGCAAGGTCAAAAGAGGAAAGTGTTGAGGGAGGTTTAGTATAAGGTATGCTAAGTGGGATGGATGTCTGTGCAGTGGCGATGCCCCTACGAATTGCGTCAATCTTGTTTTTGAAATGATTTGCAATCTCATGAGCAGTGAGTGAGGTACTGGGTGGAGGTGGAGAAAGTAGAGAGTTAAAAGTAGAGAAGAGACAACCGAGGACTGTATGACAAGGTGTTAATAAGAGTGACAAAGTAGGCTTGTTTGGCAGCATGGAGGGAGGAATTGTATGTTAAGAAAGCAGAAAAGAAGAATGCTTGCTGAGATTTGGTTTTACGCCACAATCGCTCCAGCGCACGACTATGTCATTTTTTTAGATTTCTGGTGTCGTCAGTCTTCCAAGGTTGTAATGGTCAGATACCTGATACTTCGTGTAGTTAGAGGAGCAAGTGAGTCTAATGTCGATGAAAGTGAGCTTTTGTAGACAGCAGTGGCCAGGTCAGGGCAGGACAGGGGAGAGATTCTGTCATAGAGTTGGTCAGTTGCAGAGTGGAAAGGAGCAGGGTTCAAGTTATGAAGGTTTCTGCGGGTAATTGTTTGCTGCTTAGAGGGATAGGTGTTTGAAGACGAGGACACTGTGAAGGTGATAAGATTGTGATCAGAGAGAGGAAAGGGGGTGTTTGTGAAGAAGTGCAAAGATGGGAGAAAGCAAGGTCTAATGTATTCCCATCAGAGTGAGTGGAGGACTGAATACATTGTGCTAATGCAAAAGATGAGGTTAAGTTGAAGAGTTGGGATGAAGCCGGGTTGTTGACATTAATAGGGATGTTTAAAGCTCCGAGAATGATAGTGGGTAGTTCAGAGGAGGGAAAGTAGGGTTGCCAGGCAGAGAGATCATCAAGAAAGCGGTACACCGGTCCAGGAGGCCGATAGATCACTGCATCCTCAGAGAAATGGGAGAAAACAGCCGTATGCAGTGAGTCTTGAAAGAAGAGAAGGATAGAGAAGCCTTCACACCACATGTAATGGGTGTATCTGCATGAATCATGCAGGTACATCCATTACATGTGGTGTGAAGGCTTATGTTATACCATCAAAATGAGAGTGTGTCTTTGGCATTTTTTAAGCTATTTACATGGAATAAAAAAGCGATTTGCACTATACAGGATCTTTTCTCTTGTTTCATGAGTTACATGAAAGTCAGTTGGCATTTTTGAGGGTACCTACCAGTGGAAGGGAAACCTGTGTTGCTGTGTGGTGCCATTGGGGATAAAGTCCCAGGAGATCGGATAGCAAAGAGTGTACATTCAGGAAGGATCCAGGTGTGATTGGCCCTTTGGGGTTGCCGACTTGAGGTGAGGGGCCATTTCAGCCATTGAAGGATAATTCATCAATATAGTGTTCACATACACTGCCAGTGTTGCATGCCCTGGGGCAGTAAAGCACCTTAGTTGCATCTCTGCACTTTTATTGGACGTTTTCATTATTTTTCACATATTGATTAATTAATTGTGTTCTTTATTATATGTTTATTGTTTTGAGCACTTAGTCACGAAGTTGTATTATATCCCGCATTTGGGATTCACTTCTTAGCACTTTATTATATTGTTGCATCTATATACCACATTTGGGATTCAATGTGTGCACATCTGATTCATCCCGTGTTAGGGATTGGGTTGATTATATGTGTTTATTCATCACTTATATATCAGTTCACTTATTGGGTCCAAGCATAGGACTTTGTGTGTGGATTCACATCTGTTCACTGTTTTCACGTCTAATACAGATCCTGTGAGGATCATATCACTGGTTTATTTATTTATTATTATTTATTTAGAGTTTATTTATGTGTATACAGTGAGGAACACAAGTATTTGAACACCCTGCGATTTTGCAAGTTCTCCCACTTAAAAATCATGGAGGGGCCTGCAATTCACATTGTAGGTGCATTCCCACTCTGAGGGACAGAATTTAAAAAAAAAATTTCAGGAAATCACATTGTATGATTTTTAAAGAATTTATTTGTCTTGCACTGCTGAACATAAGTATTTGAACACCTAAGAAACAGCAAGAATTCTGGCTCTCAAAGACCTGTTACTGTGCCTTTAAAAAGTCCACCTCTACTCCACTCATTAATCTAACTTAGTAGCACCTGTCTGAGCTCTTTAAAGACACCTGTCCACCCCACAGTCAGTCAGACGCCAACTACTACCATGACCAGACCAAAGAGCTGTCAAAAGACACCAGAGACAAAATTGGGGACCTCCACAGGGCTGGAAAGGGCTACGGGG